ATTGGAACTAAAGCAGACCCATCGTAACCAAAGAAATTTTGGTTTTTTGAAATAATGACCATATTTTGTTTTCAACCAACTTAAATAGTTTATGACACGTGGTTCGCTCTTTAATTTGCTGCATCGTGCTACTGGCATTGTTGTGGATACAGCGCAAGCAGTGCGTTGCGCCTTGGATATAGCGCGTGGTATGGCATATCTACATTCGTTAGAGCGCATCATACCAACGTATCACCTTAACAGCCATCACGTTATGGTAATTTATAAAATTTTTGTAAAATAAAATTTCCAATATTTTTTTATTTACATTTAATTTTTCAGATCGATGATGACCTAACGGCACGCATCAATATGGGTGATGCAAAGTTCTCCTTCCAAGAGAAAGGCCGCATGTATCAACCTGCTTGGATGTCACCGGAAGCATTGCAGCGCAAACCGGCGGATCGCAATTGGGAAGCGTGTGATATGTGGAGTTTTGCAATAATTCTATGGGAGTTAACTACACGTGAAGTGCCTTTCGCAGAATGGTCGCCGATGGAGTGCGGCATGAAAATTGCATTGGAGGGGCTGCGTGTTAAAATACCTCCAGGAACTTCGTCACATATGGCTAAATTGATAACGATTTGCATGAATGAGGATGCTGGCAAGCGACCGAAATTCGATATGGTCATACCGATTTTGGATAAAATGAAACGCTAGGAAGGCGAGGAGTTTAATGAAAGTGCCTGCAATGCGTTTAAAACAAAATTTGCGAAATACGAAAATATTGCCAAGTTAAAAAGTACTGAAAACAGTGCCTAAATCGTTTAAATTTTTGTTGAACGAAAAATAAAATTTTAATTAGTTATGCACATATATGCATACTACTAAAGTAACTGCACAAAGGATATTGTAACTTGTAATGTTTTTTAGCAATTTATACGCACGAATTTACACTTCTGATCTGAAAATGTTTCGTATTTATACAACGAGTATTTTTGTATAACCGTAGTCAAATCGCAGATGTCGCATGTTAAATATTTAAGCAATTTTTAGTGAATTCTTGTTTTAACTTTTAAACTTCACTGTCTACTACCCACCTAAATATTTAAGCATAACAAATCTATTTATTTTTAAATGTTTGTGAATATACTAATGTGCTGTTTTATATGGCAAATTTATTATATTTTTAACAAGAGCTTAATGCGAGGCATTTATTCGGTGCTCTTAACCTCATTTGTATTTCATTAAACTACTTTAAATGTATTTTAATGCACACACGTATGTGGATACAATATGTATTTCTAACTGTATTGTTTTATTTTTTACTCATCCTGCAAGCAAAACTTTTTTTTTCTAATCGACGTTATATTTTTGATATCTTTATATACAATATGTATGCAATAATTTTTTATACCACGTAATAGCGAAAATAACAAATAAAATATTTAATTTAGATTTTTAAGCATAAAAAAGTTTTTCAAAATGTAAAATGCCGGGTTTGCGGTGAGAAAGATAAAAAATTTAATTTTTGTTAGGTGTTGGATGCTGAGAATATACCGTAATGCTTCAATTTTATCAGCAATTATGTGGCGGTCACTTCATCAACGTTCCCAAAATCATCAAAATCAACAATCTTCTCTTATTGCTATAACAATAACTGTAACTTTTTTGATTGGCCTTTATTATTTATTTTACCTAATTACTCCGCTAACAGGAATCCAAAAGATTGTTGTTTGCTTTTGTATCAACAGTACACAACTGCAAACACAAATCATTTACATATCTCAAACTTGCTTATTGAATTTTTGCATTCCATCCCCACCATGCAATCATTACTCATTGAAAAAGCGTCTATGCAATAACTACTACAGAATATTTTTTGAAGAAAATGCCGGTCACGTGTTTTCCGTTAGCAGCAGTAGCATCAAGCCAAAAGAAAAACTACAACTTTAGTTGGAACAAAAAATTTCGCTGAAGTCGGCAACCAACGCAGTTCCTATAACTTAAATCTGCACCGAAGCTTGTGATATTTATTCTCCGGCAATCGCTTTCTCTTTGTGCAGCGTCTCTCTTCAAAGCTTTTCCTGCTTGCAATTTTTCGCACACTCACTCTCTTGGCTAATGATACCGGAAGTGCAGCCGCTACTGAATGCGTTTGTGTGCATGCGTTGAGTATGAAAGACGCTGCAATGAGCACAACGGCCCTGACCTACTTAACAACAAGCAGCAGGGCACAACAACAACAGCAGCGTATGTGTGAAAAAGAGTTATTGGGAGCAAATTCACTTTTAATTGCAGTGGCAGTCTGGAAGTGCTTTTGTATCCTTAATAGGATGAGAATCAAATATTGAGTTTTTGTTTATGTACGAAAAAGTTGTGTGTTTGCGAGTGTTGAGTGGATTCGTTGAAAGCTTTAGAAATCATGCTGAGAGTGAATCAGATAAAATTACTTATATGAAGCTGCCGTCAGAAACTAAAAAAATCGTGGGCTTCACGCACGAAATGAGAAAATTACCACTAAATAGTCAATATGGATGAAAATTTATTTTCTTTGGTCTGGAATCTCTGAAAAACTCTTGAAAATTTTAAAACCGAATTAAAAAAGCGCTAAAAAATTGTTTATTTTAAAATGTAAATTTTTTGTTTTTTTTTTGTTCTTGCGATTGATTTTTATACACAAATGCCAATTTGGAGTCAAAGTCGCATTTCTTAAAACAAGACAATAATTAATTAAGTCGTACTTAATCGGGTTGTAGCTGAAATAGGAATGAACAGTGCCATCCAGGTGCAATGTTTTTTCTTAGCGGTTCTAGCTATACATATGTCTGATATAAACATAAATATGTAAGTTAGTACACAATGATATAAACATAAATACGTTGGTACACAATGTATAAAACCGGGCACCTGCTTCTGTAAAATCCCACACATATGTATAAGTGAATACACTTTGAGCCGCTATAGTGTGAGAGAATATAAACTTCGAAATCTTTTTCGTTCCTACCTAGGCCAAATTTGCCTAGAGATTCGACAGGTCGTAATTTGCATCCATTTCTCGCTTGCGCAAGTATAGATAAACTCACTTAAAATCAGCTTGCAAGTGGCGAAGGATATACCAATGCGTTCTTTTTCCGTAAGAAACTGCTTAGTCGTACACCCCTCGCAAGTTCGTCCGCCATACAGATAACATCTATATCCCTATGACCCGAAACCAAAATGAGGTATAGACTGTTATGCTTAGTCATCTCTTGCAGAGATCGGCAGCCTTTTACCTTTTAAATTACTCCCAAGTTCGTTTATAGACTCCATTTTGGATCATCGGGAAATTTGTGAAAAATTGATCGCAAAATTTGACCCAAACAAACATGCTTACATACATACATACAAACAGGCAAGGCCGTATTTAGAGGAAGGGGGGAGTCGTAGGTGTTCTTACCCCTCTCCCCCGCAGAAATGTATCGTATCCGATTTTAAGGCACTAAAACTTGAAAAAGGCAAAATGCGCTTTGAAAAAAGTTATTTATTTGTTTTTTTGTTATGTACAATGTGCATGTATGTATAAAAAAATACATACAGTGGTCAAAAAACTTTTTGTCAAGTTTTAAGGTATTATTTTTGTTCTTATTTAATTTTGGTTATTTTTTCATAAAAATATAGTTCATTCTTTAACAAAACCCGTCTAAATCCAAGTTTCCAACTTTGTGCAATATTCTTTGGCGGTAATAAATAAGGGAAAATCTTATACAAGCAATATATTTCTAGATTTGAAGACGAGCTAAAAGTAGATCCCAAAGCGTTTTGGAAATACATTCAATTTAAGAAAGGGTGCTCCAATATCCCTTCTTGCATGTCATATTGTGGTAGGAAATCAGAAAACGTCTTAGAAACCGTAAATTTTTTGCGGACTTCTTCAAATCGAACTATGTCAGTGATGCTGACCTATCCGGATGTAATATGGACGACATTACGCAATCTGTAGATTTTGGCTCTTTGTTTGTCAAAAAGCATGATGTTATTAACGGCATCTCTGCTCTGCTATTGTCCTTAAAAAGTGACTTAGATGGGTTCTCTTCATACGTGCTCAAGAAATGCGTTTCGTCATTTTGCGTACCACTAAAATATATTTTTAATCTTTCGCTGGCCTCGGGTGTTTTTATTAATCGTTAGAAAATTGCCTCGATCTCCCCAATCTTCAAATCAGGTAACAAAAATGATGTTACAAACTACAGACCTATATCTAAACTTTCGACTTGATCGAAACTTTTCGAGAAAGTGGTCATCAAAAGTTCCATTAATCCGTGCCAGCATGGTTTTGTGAGCGGTCGCTCGACTGCCACAAACTTAGCCTGTTTTTCTAATTTCTGTATAGGTAGGTAGGAGAGAGCTGCATGGATACACTCAAATTACATTTTAAGTCACTCGCTTTCTTTTCACATCTGCACATACTCGCGCTCATTTATTTCCAAACATAACGTGCGATAGCATTGAAAAAAACATTGTCGGTTGAGTGAGTAATTCACACTATCAAGTGCTCGATTCAAATAACAAGTGCTTGATTTGAAAAACAAGTGCATGGCATAGCTGCTGTAATGAAAGTATCAAAGAAAAAACATTTGTAAAAAATTTTTTTGTTAATTTTATTGGTTTCCTAACTGCATATTACTTATAATGCACAAATATCACCTGATTAAGGGCATCATCATTTGACAAAAGGTGACATCTTCCGTCAGAAATAACATTTCCAGCAGAAGAAAAAACTCTTTCTGACGATGCGCTAGTTGAAGGAGTGGGTACGACTGGGTTTATGCAGCAGCGGCATTTCGCGTTTGTGTACCTCCCACCAATTATATATATCGAAGTCCGTATGAAAATATACCTCAATATTTTCATATCGCCGCAGCTCTGCAGTAGCTTTATCAGTTCTGCTCACAAAGGTAGGTTGCTTAAGAAGGCCTGAAAACAGTTCAAAGTTGTCTGAAGGTAACAAAGGTGTATCCGCAATTTGTGGTTCCGTTGTACTGCCGGAATTCTCAGTTAACGTTCTCATAATTTGTAAACATTTCTCTTTTGTGTACCTTTTCTCAGATTCGGTAAAGTTCTTGAGCTCCTTTGCTGGCGGGGGAAAAAAAAGCACAATTTTGTGCAAATCTGTTAGTTTTTAACAGCAATTGTTTTTAAATAATAAAGCAACTTACTTTTCAAGTCCTTTATAAAGCCGATGTCTTCTGAGGTAACATTGCATTTCTTTTGTAGACTAGTTATATAAATGTATGTCAGGTGCATAACTAAATAATTTAGTAAAACTAATATATTTAAAAAAATACTTCATCAATATCCATTTCTTCAAACTTGTCGTATTCTCTACTAATTGTTTGAAGTCAATGAGTGTCATTCGATTGCTCGACTTGGTTTTCATAACAGCATTTTTCACTCGCTTGACTTGATTTAGAAAGAGTATATCAATGCCATATTTGAAATCAAATGAGTACACTGCAGCTAAACATTGATTTCAAAACTAACTATGAATCTCACTGTTTGTACGGTGTTTCTCACTAACCTTATAGAGTCGACAGCAATGAGTTCATACTGTTTAGATGGAAGTGAGTAAACTCATGCTGTTGTCTGGTAGGTAGGTAGGTAGGTAGGTAGAGGTGGCGGCACACTTAGGCCATAGATAGAAGGCCCATTGTGTTACCACAGTTGACATCGTTCAATTATCCTCCCCATTGAACCATTTCGTGTCGCTGATGAATCTCATCAGGCACCTCGCATCGGTATTTGAAACCTCCCTA